TACCTGATGTAGCACATTATATTTGTATTAAAGCTTCATCTGCTGTAGGTGCACAAAGCTAATGTAAACAATGCTCAAGGGACTGGAACATGTGCTTATTCTTCCATGACTATGTGATCTACTGATGCGGTGAGTATAAAGTGCAAGTGTTTTCTTCTTAACAAACAATAATCTGTGCTAAAGAGCATTATTTATTTCATGTTATAATATTTTATATATGCAATATTCCTCAGTAACATTCTGTTAATACTAATTAAATGAAGATTATGTTTTTCCTAACAGCACTGCCTATTTTGTAACAGATAAGAAGAAATTTGCTGGATTAAAGTTCTACATGATCAATACATTTCCTGTCACATTCTTACTGCTGTATTATAAGGCCAAGCCCCTATAGGGAAAATGGCTATTCCGCAACCACAAATTTTATATGTATGTATGTATGTATGTATGTATGTATATGTTTTCTTAAGTTTTCGCGGGTATTTATATGTATGGTATTCAGCTTTGTTCAGGTATTTTCCCACGTCATTATAGTTGTGCTTTTATCCCATTTGCCATCATCAGGCTTCTGTATTGTGTTCATCTGTGAGTCAGACTTTCACAGCCATTTCAGCTTTAAATTTGGGGCTAGCCTACTGCTTGTGCCAGAATGTTTTTTTCTGTCTGTTTTGAAGGCAGTCTTGATGTGATGCCTGTGTAGTATCTTACTGATTTTGCCTGTAGTACCTCTTATGTAGGGCAGAACAGCTGTTCCATAGGTCTGTTCATCTTCTAGGTCTCCATTATGTCTCAGTGTGTTTTTGTGGATCAAGCTGGTGATTTTGCAGAAAAATAGCAGCCATCCTAAGAAACCCCAAAGATAAAACTGATGTGGAAAACCAAGGCATAAAGTCCCCTGTGCATCATGCCCTGCCACATACATTGGACAGACCAATAGAAGAATACGTACCCACCTGGATGAACACAAAAATGCAGTAAAAAGCTGGAACACACTTCCTCACTAGTCCAATACATGAAAGAAACAGGTCATAGAATTGACTTCAATGGCACCAAAACCCTAGCCACTATAGAAAACCCCAGCCACAGAATTATCAGAGAAGCCATAGATATAGAAAAAAGCCCTGAAAGCATGAATAGAAGAGATGATTCCACCAGACTGTCAATTATTTGGAAGCCTGCACTCACAAACAAAAAAATCTCCACACCACAAGCCAGGCAAACATCTGGGCACAAACAGATCCCCCCTGATACCCCCAGCTCAAACACACCCCAACCAGGCACCCAGATGAAAGCTAGATTCCTAATAAATGATAGCCGTCCATTTACATCGGAGCCAAGCCGCACTAAAAGCCTCCAATCCAGGAACACAATGTTGCCAGCCAATCAAGACAAAAAAAGCCACAAAATAGACAGAAGATATTAGAAACACCAATCAAGCAGAACATAGCAAACTCCAAGACCAATAAACACAGACCAAGACTCCCAACCAATCAGGATGAAGAAAAAACCATTCTGGCACAGCAGTAGGCTATCCCCAAATTTAAAACTGAAATGGCTGTGAAAGTCTGACTCCCAGACGAACACAATACAGAAGCCTGATGATGGCAGATGAGATTCTGTCAAAACGTTGCTACAACTTTAAAAGCACAACTATAATGACGTGGAAAAATACCTGAACAAAGCTGAATATCATACATGTAAGTACCCACGAAAACTTAAGAATATTTTCCCCCCACTTTCTCCTATTCCCAGTGAATGCAAATGACTATGTATGTATGTATGTATGTATGTATGTATATATGTATGTATGTATGTATATATATATATATATATATATATATATATATATGTGTGTGTGTGTGTGTGTGTGTGTGTGTGTGTGTGTATGTATATATGTGTGTGTGTATGTATGTATGTGTGTAGGGGTATGTATGAAAAATTATAAATTATGGTAAATTATTTTACAGAATGGTAAATTATTTTACAGAAGATTACTGGTGTGATGATTTAAAAAAGAAATATTCAAAAATAAAAAAAATTCAGGCAACTTTAAAAACATTACTACATAATGCCACACGTTGAAGCAATTAAAGAATAAAGATTTATCTGAATTTTGCAGTCTAATTTTCAGAATCCATTCTTGACTTTTGCCTGATTAAGGAAATACCCTCATTGCATCTTTTATGATTTATATCATATACATTTTTTACAAAATGAATCTGTTGGCAATCTGCTGATAAACTATCACTTTGTAATTGTTGGGATTTTAATCTTTGTATGCCATCCACAATCATTGTTGTGAAACAGATGGCCCTAGCAATTACTTAAATAAATCAGTCAATGGCACTTAGCACATGGAGTCCCTGCAGATTTTACTCCACTAGTTATTGCTGACTATAGGGGGCAGTGCTCATATCTGTTTCAAAGCCATTGAGCCACTGCTGTCCAAAGACATTTCCATGGTCACATGGCCAACATGAGGTCATGGAGTCTTGTTATCTTCCCACCAAAATGATACCTATTTATCTACTGCATTTGTATGCTTTCAAACTGCTAGCTGCAACGAGGATGGGAACTTACCCATCACTTGGTACTTGGGTGTCAAACCTAGCCTGCCAGCTTTCTTAGCATATGATATGCTCAAAATTTATATTTGGTCTTTTCTATAGAAATTCCAACATAAACTTCTCCCTGACTTTCCCTAGCAAGTAGCTTTGGGTTTTTTAAAAAATGTTGAACTGATAATTGCTGAATGTTATCAATAATTATTGTTGTCAATGATTATGAATCCTCAGTGTTATTATATAGTGCAACTTATCAATAGTTTCTCCTTCTCCCCAGCAGGTGGCAGCACTTTGAAAGCCAAACTGTAACCATGGTAACTGTAGGGTGACATTACAGCTGTTCATTCTATAACACATTTGAAATTAGAAATAGAAAGTGCTATATATGTAATATGTGCTCAGATTAACATCTGCAGAAAAACGTTAACTGTTCTAATGCCATGACATCTTGAGAAATATCAGTTCTACTCAGTAAACCACATCAGAAAATTAACTCTGCAGGAAGATTCAAACCACACCTTAATGAGATAAGCTGTAATAACAGAATACAGTCTACTGCAAATCTGTTTTTCTCTCTTATATCCTGTCAAACAAAGAGATACCTGCCTAAGTGTCTTTGAATTCTAACTTTAAAAAATGTTTCAGTCCTCCTGGTTGATATATTTCTTGCCAATTTCCCTCAAGGTCATTTCCCTGACTTTCTACACCAGATGACAAATCATCATGTGACTGAGGTCACGCTTATTTTCAATTTGCCTTAACCTCTTCTCTGAGAATCCTCTCCATTTATGCAATGGAATATTTTAACACACCTTATGTCTGCAAATTTTAATAAACTTTGCTCCAGAATTTATCTATATCTATTTATCTACCTGTATATATATTAAAAAGGTGAAATCTAACATTTGTATTCTGCTTCTAAATGATTGTTTCCATTCCAGCCAAAATCTCATCATCAAAAAGGGAGGGAGGAGTTTCAGCCAAAAAGAGAGGGAATAAAGTGTTGTAAGTATTACCTTCTTCAACCCAGTACCTCATAATATGCAATATTACACTTTTGAGCAATATTGGCTAATAGGCCCCAATTTTGCTCTTATCCTTTATAGGATATAGCGACTTTATAAGGACTTAAAATTTATGAAGACTTTAATCAGGAGACATTAACCAGTTGCTATAATAGTAATTTGACTCTGCAGTTGGATGGTGCAAGTGTCTTCTAGTATGTCTGTCTGCCTGCAGTTCTCCTGCTGGTCAATTCTGCTGGACTGACTGACTTTCTTGGTAGATTTCTTTCTAACAAGCTGGTGGGAGTCTTCTCTTTAGGCTTTTTTTTAAAAATAATGAGGACTTCGACCATCACTTTGCTCTGTCACAATTTTTCCCCAAGCTGATGCTCTCCAGAACATTTTGCAGTACAATTCCATTATCCCCAATCAGCTCACTTTTATGACTCAATAGCAGGAGTTAACCTGCAACTGAAAATTAGGGTTATGGAAGGCAGTCTGCAGGGAGAAAGTCTCAGGTGGCCTCTTAATGACTAATTTATCAGGGCATCAGCTTTCGTGGATTGTAGAAAAGCTGATGTCATAATAAATCTAAGTCTCCAAGGCGCCACAAGCTTTTCCAGAGCTTTCACAGCGATAAATAGGCACAATTACTTATCATGGTAATCAAGAAGGGAAAGGAATGCACAGCATCAGGGACAGCAGGGGTCAGGTATTTTCCTCGTCACCCCTGAAGCTCTTACTGGCCTTTCTCTGAAATACTTCTTCAGGTAATACTGTACTTTCCCCCCACTTTCTCCTATTCCCAGTGAATGCAAATGACTAGTGTCTACAAGGAGTATAAATCCTTCCATTCTCCACTATCCAGTTGGAGCTGAAGAAGCTTCTTGGATGAGAAGCAAAACATTTTTTAAAAAAAACAAAAAACAGAAAGTCCAGCTGCCTCTTGAAAAAAAGAACCTTTGGGACAACCCTGACCTGGATGACTGAGAATCTCCATAGACATATCCCCAGTGAAATGATGACCCAGAAAGTTTATCGTGTACCATTGTTCCTTGTTTTAGATTGAATGTAACTTTATCAGGTATTCCTTGCCACCTCTTCAGAGTATGCAATTAAATCAGTAACTCCCTAGCACTAGCCCTCTGACGGGATCAGTAGGAGCAAAGAGCAGACCCAAATTCGCGGGACGCTTCCCTTGGCTCCGCTCTCGCTCCCCCTCCCCTCGCTCAGCAGGCCCAGCTCCAAGTGCGCCACATCTTCCACTCTCTGGGATGGGCGAGGGGGAGGGAGGGGGGGGGAAGAAAAAAAATGCTTCTCTTAAAGAACATGCCGTATAGCCAATCGCCTTCGAAAGCGCCCGACGGTTACAGCCGCCACCGCCCAATGGGGTGGGTCTTGAGGCGGAGTCTGTGGGGTGTGAGAGCAAAGCGCGGTCGACTGGCGGCGGCTGAGGCACTTCCCTTCTTCGCCGCCGAAACTGTGAGAGCGCCGGGAAAGGCGGAGAAGACCAAAGGGCTATCATGATGCGGCTCCGCAGCCCTGCGCTGCTGAGGGACCTGCTATGGCTCAGCCAGACCGGCACCGGCGGGCTCAGCTGTTGCCGTCGCTCGGCGCTGAGGTGGCTCCATCCCGCTTGGCCCGGCGTGGCCGGTGGCCGCTTGCCTTTGCGGTTCATGCCCGGGGCTGCTGCCGCCGCCGCCGCCCGCTCCTTGTGCACCAAGTCCGAGGGCATCCTGGAGCAGGCTGGCAAGGGCCCTCCGGCCCAGCAACCGCCGGCACCCACGACGTCCGCCGAGATGCCCGCCTCGGCCCTCGGCCAGAACAGCCACAACGCAGCCGCAAGCAAGGAAGCAGGCAGCTTGGGGGAAAAGTGAGTGGCGGTAGCGAGGGGCGGGCCGGGGCCGTTGGCGGGACCGAGGGCCAGCCCATGGGAGACAGAAGGAAGGATGCTGCTCCGGCTGCCGGCTAGTAGTGGGCGCATGCCTGCTGGTGCTGGCGCTTCCTCCTCTTCACATGTGACAGGATGCTGCTGGGTAAATGACAGGACAGGGCTACCCCACATGCGGGGTGCATTTCCAGGAAGGCAGAGCTGAAGATGGGACTGGGAGGTTGCCACGACAACCCTCCCTGGCCACGCGGAGTGGGTGGGAGTTTCTTTGCCATCCCCTCCTTCCTTTGATGCGTTTTGTCCCAAAGGTGTGTTTTTTTCTCAAGAGGCAAGTGGACTTTCTGGTTTTCCTTTGAAGACGTTTCTTTTCTCATCCAAGAAGCTTCCTTCAGCTCTGACTGGATGGTGGGGAATGGAAGGATCTCCCAATCCAGTCACGGCTGAAGGAGCTTCAAAGGAAGACCCGAAAGTCTAGTTGCCTCCTGAAAAAAAGCAACTATGACCTGGATGATTGAGAATCTCCATATACTTTGATGCATCAATTTTCCTGGAGATTAAGGTCACCCAATAGAGATTTCATTCTCTATTCAGAGTAAAATTATATGCATGTGTGTGGGGGGGAACATGACTCAGTGGTGCTTTGGGCATCATTGCAGAAAAATGACAATTGGAAGGACCATCTGAGCACTGATTTGGGTGGGTTTTACTTAATCACTGGATAATTCCAGTTAATTTATTTCTTAAGTTACTGGGCAGTGAAATTAGAGTTTGGGAAAGTGTCAGCAATGCTTTAATCTTGCTAGCTTTCATTTTTAAAATTAAATGCTGCTATTTATGTGAGAATGTATATTCGAAATGTGACTTACTTAGAGATTTTATGTCTTTCAGTTAAGGGTCATAAACTGATCCATGAAACAGGCCTGTGAAAGGGTTCTACTATTTTCAGTTTTCACTTATTTCATTGAAAGTGTAGGTAGAAATTCTGCAGTTTATTAAATGAGTACAATTTCCTTTTTTGGTACATATTTATGAAGTGAGATCTGGGGAGGGGGGAAACATTTCTGCCATGCAGTGTGTAAAAGGGAATTCAAGAAATGTTCACCTAAAATACTATGTTGGTGGAGGTTTTTAGAATTTTCCTGCCCAGCATTTATATCTAAGAATTAAAATCTATGGTACAATTAAATAGTTGTGAAGGATTGTATCTGAAATATTGAATGTAGCTTTTAAAAATTTTCTAGTTGAATTACTCTTTTATTAACAATCTCATTTACAGAAGGTGAATAGTCATGTTAAAAGTGTTCAGAAGTTTTCAATTTTTCTTCCCAGGAAAGCAGTTTATTTCAGTCAATGTTTCTGAACAGAGAAATGTGCATTTTAATTATTTGTCCCTTCATATAAAACCACTGACAATTGACAACATGAATACTTGTGTATTGATCAGAATTGTTTTAGGTAATACAGTTTTAAATTTAAAAGCAAAATTGTTTTTACTACTTTCAGTGAATCTATTGAATTACGATTGTAGCTGCTATAGGTATTTTTTATGAGTCATCTTTAAAATGGTTTTCAGGCAAATCAATGAGCAATGTTATATCTGAGGGCAGTGGGGAAGAAGTTGTAGACTCAATTACTTCAGTGAAATTAATGATAGAAAATGATTTGCCTGCAGTTTTGGGAATATCATAAGGATTAAGGAATTATGGTCTTTGATTTGGTAATTAAAATCCTGGATATTCTAGTTCTTTATTCCATAATTCAAATATAAAACTAATAGAACCTTTACTTTTACTTTTTAATTGCTTATAAAATTAGATTGTTAGTTTCTGTTCAAGTGCTGTATCTCTTAAACATTTTAAACTTGTTAGTACCTTGCTGCTGCTAAAGCAGCCAGGCCATTCTGTTTAATACATTTCAGTTATATATATTGCTCAGCAAATCTTGTAAAGAAATTATATTCAAAACACAACTCATTAGTAATCAACTGATTGAGTAATCAACTGATTGAGAGTATTGTTTTATTGTTTGGTCCAAGCTTTCCAATAAAATATTTTCCCTCCTATTTTCAGATTTGGGTTATTCCACAATATCAGTTTTTCATGGCATTTTGGATGAAAGTATACCTAGTAAGCAATTAATGACCAGATGTGTTGGCCATTTTCGAGGCTGGCATTAGCCCTAAAATTTCAGAAGTGTTTTACCACTCAATCATAAGGCAACCTCATATTGTCAAAGAATATTCAATAGACCTTAGCATACCGATAGAGGAGAATATTTGTAGCTCAGGGTTGAAATGAGGAGTCCCTTACTTCTGCCAAACTAGCAGTTTGAAAGCATGTAAAAATGCAAGTAAAAAAATAGGGACCACTTTGGCAGGAAGGTAACAGCATTCCGTGCACCTTCAGCATTTAGTCATGCCGGCCAAATGACCACGGAGACATCTTCATATTTTTTTCTTTTAAATTTTTATTGGTTTTTAAGACAAATATAGACAAACAAAACATAAAAACATCAAGCCATCTTCCATATAACCATGGAGACATCTTCAGACAGCACTGGCTCTTCGGCTTTGTAACAGAGATGAGTGCCGCCCCCTAGAGCCGGAAATGACTAGCACATAAGTGTAAGGGGAACCTTTACCTTTAGGGCTCTCTGAGCTTGGTCATTTTCTTACAGACATTTCATTATCCAAATTAAGTAAGAATCAAAACCCAGATAAGCAGAGATTAACACCAAGATTAATGTTAGACCAACAATCAAGAAGCAAACAGTACCCCAAACAAGGAACTGTCAAACAAGCCAACAGTAAGCAGCCTAACCAAAGAGTCATCAAGACCACTTCCAGCAACACTGATAGGCCAAGCCATTAGAATGTAAAATGAGAATAAAACCCACTCTGTACTAGGAACAAATTTCATGGTCTTTTTTTTTTGGCTTTTGAAGAAAAAATGCAAGTAGTTTGGTGAAACACAAACACTGCACTCCAGCATAAGAACTTTATGCCATCTGTGAAACATGGTGCTGGTGTCATGGTTTGGGCCTGCTTTGCTGCCTTTGTCCCAGGGTGGCTTTGCCATCATCAGGGGAACTATGAATTCTAAATTGTCCCAGCCAATTTTACTAGAAAGTGTTAGGCTATTTGTCTGTGAGCGTATACTCAACAGAAAGTGGATCATGATGCAAGACGACAATACAAAATACACAAGTCGTACAACGAAGGAGTGATCAGTGCTTAAGAAGAAAGTTAATATTTTGAATTGGCCAAGTCAAACTCCTGACCTTATGCTATGAAAGTGTAGAAGGACTTGAAGTAGGCAGTTCATGTGAAGAAACAAACCAACATTCCTGAGTTAAGGTTGTTCAGTTAAAGGAACAGACTAAATTTCCTATGGACAGGCCTGATCAATCATTATTAAAATGTTTAGTTGTAGTTATTGCTGCCCAAGAGGGGGCACACCAGCAAAGATTATTTTTCTAACCTTTAAATGTAACTTTAAAACATTTTCTTCAATAAATAAATCAATATAATGTTTCTGACTCATTTGTTGGATAGGATTCTCTTTATCTAGTTTCAGAACTTGTATGGAAAGGACATTTTAGATTATATTTATGCAGAAATATTGAAAATTCAAAAGGGTTAACAATTTTTAAGCACTACTATATCTGTCTATTCTGAGTATCTAATAGATCAGAGGTCTCTAAACTTGGCAACTTTAAGATTTATGGACTTCAACTCCCAGAATTCTCCAGCCAGCTATGCTATGCTAGCTGGAAAATTCTGGGAGTTGAAGTCCACAAGTCTTAAAGTTGCCAAGTTTGGGGACACCTGTAATAGATAATAGCAATAGCACTCAAATTAATATACTGCTTTATAGTGCTTTACAGCCCTCTCAGAGCGGTTTATAGAGTCAGTATTTGACACCCCTACTGTATAACATAAGCTTTGCTAATGGCATGAAGAATATTCAGAATAACCATAATATCATCGGCAAATAAGGGTTATTTATATCCATTAATGTGTGTCACCTCACCTTAATATTTTTAGAGTCACTAATAGAAGAAAATCAGGAGGCAAGAGGTATAATTGTCAGGTCCCAATCTAAGTTGATAAATATAGAGATAAATCTACTGGGTGAAGATAAAAATTAGAAATCTAGTGAGCAAAAGTTGCCATAAAAAGTCCTAGTTTATGAAAACTATGTACTACTAGCTCTATACAGCAGATGAAGCTAGGCAGAATCACATCTGATACCTGTACAATTAACAGAAGGCCCCTTCAAAGCTATGTGCTTTCCCCACTTCTCCCAATATACCAATGACTGCAACTCAATCAATCCCTCTGTTAAAATACTTAAGTTTGCAGATGACACAACAGTGATTGGTCTCATTCGAGACAACAATGAATTTGCATACAGACAGGAGGTTGTACAACTTGCCTCGTGGTATGACCGGAACAATCTGGAACTGAACACACTCAAAACCATAGAAATAGTGGTAGACTTTAGGAGAAACCCTCCCATACTACCATTTCTTACAATACTAGATAACACAGTATCAACAGTAGAGACCTTTAAATTTCTAAGTTCTATCATATCACAAGACCTAAAATGGACACCTAACATCAAAAAGTCATAAAAAAGCACAACAAAGAATGTTCTTTCTGCACCAACTCAAAAAGCTCAAATTGCCCAAGGAGCTGCTGATACAGTTCTATAGAGGAATTATGGAGTCTGTCATCTGCATCTCTATAACTGTCTGGTTTGGTTCTGCAACCAAACAAGATAGACACAGACTTCAACAAATAATTAGAGTTGCAGAAACAAACAATTACTACCAACCTGCCTTTCATCGAGGATCTGTATATTGCACGAGTCCAAAGTGGGCTGTTAAAATATTTAGAGACCCCTCTGTTTCAATTCCTACCATCAAAATGACGCTATAGAGTACTGCACACCAGAACAACCAGACACAAGGACAGTTTT